TGGGAGTTTGAATTTCTGCGTTAAATAGTATTAAAATGAGCAAATTTGTCGAGGACGAGTTCGATCGTTCGAGACTTTGTTTTCTCAATTTTTTAAGTTTTTCGTCTATTCGAAAGGAGATATAATTCTTGATTATTATTATAATTGAGTCCTTAATTTTTATTAATATAAAATTCGAGTATTTTTCGAGTTAAAACAATTCAGTTTAAGTATACCAGTTTAATTCCGGACTTAGTTTGATTTTTAGAAAAATCTCTAGAGTATTCCTTTATATCCTGCGAAAATTTTTGAGAGCGTCCACAAAAGTCCTTTGAGCGCCCTTCTAATGTCGGAGTGGGGGTGGTGCGCCGCGGGATTGCCGGAGTGGGGTGATGCGCCGCGACAAATTGGGCCCCTCCCGAGCTGACTGGCTAGTTTCGCCACTGATTACGGTTACATGATAATCTAACCGTTACAAATCTCAACGGAATGATATGTATATTATTGTATAAATAGTCTGTGTGATGCGAATTTATTATTTGTCTTCGTGAAATTTAATATGAATTCAAGTAATAATATTACTTAGTACATGAAATTTATTTGAATGATAATATATATACTTCGAAATTAGAGAATAATTCATTCCTAACTCCGTAGTAATAATTATATAAAACTTAATAAATTAATATTTATGTGTTTACAAATAGTTTTTTAAAAATCAAAATTTAAGTTGAATGAAATACGTTCCGTAATCAAATTTAATACGAATCACAGATTGAATTGTATAATAATAAATTAAATACGAATATGAATATTCAGAGCCCGAATTGATAGCTGAATATTCAGTTCGATTCGTTTTGTAAAAGGAGTTAAATTAGAAAAAAAAAAAAAAAAAATGTATATATACATTGCAGATTCAGCAAGTTAAAACAAAATGAAGTGCATGAAACAATTGCCCTGGCTTATATTATATATTGTTCAAAATTATATTAAAAAAGTTTGTGAAATAAAGTGAAATTAGTGGAAATGAATGAATAGTGTTCATTTTTATTTGCGAATTGTAATTGTTAAATGTATAATAGAGAAACACAGAACAGTGTCAATAACTTTCCACATGCAAGTGCAGCTTGTTGTAAAATCACCAGTAAAGTACTCAAAAAGTATTTTAAGAGCATGAAAACTCTACAAGTTATGCACAAAAGTTCACCAGAAAACTACAAGAATTACCCAAAACCCCTCTGCAGCCGAAGTCGACCGATGGAGAAACCAATGTTTCATCAAACCCTTCTCATGCCTATCAGTGATTATAAAAAAAAAAAAAAAGAAGACGAGAAGTAGGAAAAAAAAAAATACTATTGCTTCCTCCCCCTTCCTTTCTTGGTGGGCTGTGCTTCTAATTGTTCTTTCCCACCAACTTCAGATACATCGACTGCAAAAAATTATGCGATTTCTTAGTCGTTAGAATAATATGAATAAAAGATGATTTCTCACAACAAAAAAAGTAAAAGCATACCAATATATATATAAAACAGCAAGCAGTGAACTAAGACATACAGATTTTAGACCAACAATAGTACATGAGAAGTGTGGCTCAGCTCACCAGAGTTTGTAAGTTAGCTAGAAAATAAAGTAAATATGCAATTCACTATTATGATTTATGCGCAAACAAATGTCTTCTCACTGCCACTACACAGTTCGGATGAATCCTTCCTACCTTAAGGGAGGCTCTGGAATCTACTTGATCATACCACAGCTTGATGTGTGTGGTGGAAATCATTAATTTCGTACCAAATGTTGCAATTACCATGAACACTTTGCGTAGTGGCATCTGAATTCAAATCTTTATCACATGTTGCAATTTGACATTGATCTCACGCTAAATAAAAATCTTCACAAATTTCACGCATGTTATCACTCCCTTCTCCTCAAAAAATAACAAATCTGCTTGTACAATAATTGTTTTCTATTCACAAAACCTGACCCTCCCTGTGTTGAGTAGGTACTGAAGTACTGAGATGCATATGCAGATGGAATGAATACCGAAAACAATACCTTCAGGTCCACGAGCCATCAAAGTAAAGAAGATGTTATTAAACTTCTCCATCTTCTTCGCATCCTGAGCTTGGTCGGTCTTGAATTTGATACACTGATAAGAAAGTACGAAAATTCTAAGATATTGAAGAAGGCTCATAACTCCACAACTTTCATATCATATTCACATTTGACAATAAATATTTTTGTTTCTTAAAATTGCTGCAAACTATGGACAGAATGGACAGGATAAACTTTTCCAACACGGATGCAATATAAAATGAATAACCGACACATATTATATCAAGGGCAGAAAGCTCACTAACATTGAAAATCTTATTTCCAAGTCATCAAACTATGCTAAATTCTGCCTTCCTAAGTACAAAATTCAAAACAAAACCAAGACTTTCGAGAAAATTTGGTGAATCCTTCTAACCACGAAAGAGCATATTAATCCAATAACTATGGGCCTGCATTAGTAACTCGACACAATAATACTGATCAGAAGCATATTCAGCTCAATCTCAGCTGATAAGAACAATGCAAGGCCAAATAATCCGTCAATCAGAATACCACAAACAAATAACTCTATCAACCAAATTGAGGAACACGTAAAAATTTAAATAACAGTACAAAAAGATCGATATTGTTTTGTATCTCGTAACTAAAGTATAATCTGGGCAGGTTATCTATGTCATGCGCCATACAAGTGACAAGCAAATCATTCTAACACTATAATTGACAGTTATTTGGGAATTTAAGTCACTTAAAAGAAAGAAAGGTGCCAACATGAACAATTCAGCATGTTCTACACAATCAGAATTGGCTTTTTCGACACATTCATTTTTTTTTTTCCGGCATAACCGATAAATCGCAAAGCCTAAACCAACGAAGCAAACACCATCACCGCTAAAATTCAAGCGAATCTAAAACCCATAGAACACTTTAGCAACCTTTTACCTCTCTATCATCGGTGACTTTAAGCACCAATTTACCTTCGCAATGCCTGTACTTCATGGAATAACGAGTCTGCGCCACAAGAAACAGACAGTAACAATCGGAACCATGCGCATACGACGAGGCGAAAAATCAAGAAATCGT